CTCTCTCTCTCTCTCTCTCTCTCTCTCTCTCTCTCTCTCTCTCTCTCTCTGTGTGTGTGTGTGTGTGTGTGTGTGTGTGTGTGTGTGTGTGTGTGTGGGTGGGGCTGTTTGCAATCTCTTTCGTTTTTCGTCCCCATTTCTCTGTCCCTCTGCCCGTTTGCCTCCCTGGCGTTTTCTGCCTTTAATCTCAAAACAAATCATAATTGTGTGTAAAGTGCCACTGGCAGTATCCGCCTATCTCTTTACTTCCTTTCCCTCCGAGGTGTCTGTACACCAGCGAGTCGGCAGCTGCGCCTCTCCCGTGAGGTGTATGTACGCCTCACGCGTTGCTGCCCGGGTAGCGCATTTGGGCCGAAAGCAGCTTAAGTTGACCATATATTTTATTCTTTTAATAACGGAAAAAAACAAATGCAAATATACTACTGCTGCCTTTGCTGTTCTGCTGCGGTGTACTTCCGATGGTCCCCCAGCAGACCGAAGCAACATTGAAAACAACCGCAGCCGGTGCAGCAGCAGCAGCAGCAGTTTGTAAATAAATCGTTTTCTTCTTTCATTCACTTGATTATAATATTTATTTAATTTAGTGAAGAAGGCACAGACAGGCTTCCAACCTTAGCTCTCACTGGCGCTCTGCCTCGAGCAAGCCACGAGACTGCAGCAGCAGCAACAGCAGCAGCTGCTGCTGCTGCTTAGAACAGCAGCAGCTGCTGATGTTGCTGCAGAGGCTGCGGGGGCAACTACATCTTAGATGTTCTCCCAGTGAGAAGAGATGAAGCCAAAAACAACAATTGTCTCTTCATCAAGCTCCTTAGTTACAGATCTCACTGAACGTTGCAACGTTCCATTAGCTGCTGCTGCTGTTGCTGTCGCTGCAGCTGCTGCTGCTCCTTCGTCTTCGGCTGCGGTTCGCAGTCCTTGGATCGTTCCTTCGTGCTACTGGCTGCTGTTGCTTCAGCAGCTGCAGCAGAAGCAGCACTTATTTGCTGCTGTGTGCGGGCATTGCGGCACTTCTCTCACTTGCTGCCATCCCCACGGGGGCCCTCCTGCCTCGCGGCTAGCCCTCTGTTGTCTCCTTTCTGCAGCAGCAAGCTAGTGGTCTTCTCTGCACATCCTGGCATCCGCAGGCTGCAACTGCTGCTCATTGTGCAGCAGTTGCTGCTGCGGCTGCTGCTGCTGCTGCTGCCGCTGCTGCTGCTGGCCGGCCGGTTAACTTACTGCAGGGGCCCCCGAGGCCCCCGCGGCTCGCTGGGGTGTCCTAAGGATTTAGATGAAACCCTTCCTTCAGGGCTGAAGTTTTTGCTGCGGTTTCCTCAACAGAGCAGCAGCAACAGCAGCTGTGGTAGCACGAACAGCAACAACAGCAGCACTTGCTGCTCTAAGGCAGCAGCGCCAGCTGCGGCAGCATCATCATCACCTCCACCAACAGCAGCCGCAGCAACAGCAGCTACAACCGCAGCAGCAACAGCAGAAGCAGCAGAAGGAGTAGCACCCAGAACAGCCGCAGCAACAGCAAAAGTAGCAGCACCCTCAGCGGACCCACCTGCAGCACAAGCAGCAGCCTCGGCAGCAGCGGCGCCTCAGGCAAGAATTCTTGTGGGGGGGGTACCGACGTGAAGAAAGAACGAAGGAGAAATCATAGACTAGCAGCTGCACGCCTGCTTCCTTTTGTCTCCTTTTGTCCCCTTTGCCGAAGATGGATCAGCTCAAGCAGTTTATTTTGAATCACCTCTGCAAATATGTTGAAGGTGATAATACAGATGTTTTAGGCTTTAGGCTTTATGGTTTTGGGTTTAGGGTATACTGTCGCATCGGGCCTTCCTGGCCCCAGCGGTTTAGGGTTTAGTATTTAGGGTTTTAGATCCGCAAGCGCGTCAACCACCCAACTATAACCCTCTAGCCTATCCCCTAGACCCAAAACCCTCTACTCTTGAGTTAATAGTGTAACCACTAAACCCTAGACCATAATCCATAAGGCCTACCTCATTGGATCTTGCTGTTTCCGTTTGTCTCCTTTTGTCTCCTTTTGCCACTTCCTGTCTCCTTTTGTATATGTCTGTATGTCTGTTAAATTTGTCCTTTTTTGTCTCTTTTACCTAGTTTTGTCATGTTGCCTCCATATATCTCCGCTTGTCTCCTTTTGTCTCTCGTTATCTTCTGTTTCATGTTTGTGTTTTTGTTCGTGTTGCTGTTTTTTGTCTTCAGTCCGGCGTCAGGATTTGTTGTCTTTCGGCTATGAGCGCGGGTTGGAGATGAAAGATTTGCGTTTCAATGCAAAGTCCATCAACCAGATGCTCCAGGCAAGCCTGCCTATCCATTCACTCACCGCCAGCTAGCTAGCTAGCTAGCTGGCGGAGATAGATAGCAAGATAGATGGCTGGCTAGCTAGCCATCGATCTTACTATCTATCTATCTATCTTGCTTACTAGCTAGCTCTATCCCTTTCCACCTGGATAGCTAGCTAGCTGGCTATATACGTAGAGTGACAGGTAGATAGGTAGACAGATAGATACACAGATAGATATCTATGTGCTACTTAGCTAGCTGTGAGTGTTAGCTCGCTAGCTAGATAACTAACCGGCCAGCTTGGCACCCATGAAGGCGGGGAGTGGGTGGCTAGCTAACTGAAGAATAAACTTGCTTGTTGATGAGCTGGTTAAGATATTTAGTTTAGGGTATTACGCCTTAAGATCAGGGTTAAGGGTTCTAATGCTCAAAGCATGGAGGGGGTTTAAGGATTATAATGGTTTAGGGTGTTTTAGGAGGCGGGCGCAGCCCTCTGGCTCGATCTACTGCTTAGGGTTTAGGGAATGGGATTTGGGCTTAGAGTCCACGTAGAATTGCGCAGAGCCGGTTTAGGGTCTATGGCTTAGGGTTTATGGTTTAGGGTATAGGGTTGGTGGGGGGTTGTGTTCAGGCTTCGAATGCGGAAGCTCGGGTGGAGTTTGGGAGGATCGGGCAGCTGAATCTCCTCTACACCCCATTGCCAGGCATTGTGACTGTGAGTTGTTTAGGGCTTAGGGTTTGGGGTTTGCGATCTTTTGTCTCTTGTGTGACTTGCATTTGTTCTTTGCTTGTACCTTTTCTTTTCTGCATGCACTAAGCGTGCCCTCATGCATGCAGTAAAGATGAGTACATGCATGCATTAAACATACCTGCATGCAAGCACTAGACCCGCCTGCATGCATTCAGTAAACCCATCGGCATGACTCTGTGCATGAATGCATGCATGCATGCACAGAACCTTCTTGAGTGCATGCAATACAGAAGCCTGATTGCATGCATGCACTGTACCCGCTGCATGCATGCGTGTATTGTTTGTTTCGCAGCTTCAGTTGAAGGACGTGGATATTCGAATTCGGCCAAATTTTACGGGTTTTGCACTGAGGAAGTTGACCGAGACACTGCAGGAGTTGGGGGAGATTGGGGCTTTGGAAGAACGCCCTTTGGGGCCTTCTGTTGTCTCTACAGGCCCCCCACCCGGTGCATGCATTCTCTCCAATGCATGCATGCATCCAAGTGCATGCATGCCCCCCTATGCATGCACAATAGCAAACACACCCCCCAAACACAACACACACTCGAGGGTGAGCCCACGCGACTTTTTCCGTAGATCGCGGTCTATGTACACCGTATTTGTTTGTTTCTTTCTGTATATTGTGCACTTATGTTCTTAATATTATATATATTCGGTTCATCTTCTTGGGTGCTTCATATAATATTGTATTTTATGTGTTCATGAATTGCATGTGCGCCCATATTAAAAGATGCATTCACTATATTCGCAAGTTGCACATAAATAAACAATACTTGGGGCTACTTGCAGAGCGGAAAGTCTGCCTGCCTGCATGCAACAAGTGTCCATGCATGCATGCCTGCATGCATTTGGGTGTTGTTCGTCTTTGTTTTCTGTCTCTCTGCAGCTCGTCCCCCCGTGCCGCGTGCCTAAGCCGCCCCCAGTGGTTCGGCGAGCGGAGTTTGTAGGGTCTTCCCCTGCCTCTTCTTTTTATCAGCAGCCTGTTCAGGGAGAGTGGCTAGCTCAGGGATCTGCTGCTGCTGCTGCTGCTACTTCTGCTGCTGCTGCGGCTGCTGCCGCTGCGGCTGCTGCTGCGAGGGAGGCAGCTGACGACTGCTGGGCCCGTGTGTGGGGAGAAGATTCTCTGCTGTCTCCTTGTCTCTCGCTTCTGTCTCCAACGCAAAGGCAAACACAGCAAATGTTTGGTGCAGGAGACAAAAATATATACGGACACCCTGCTACTCCAGTAGCAGAGACCCTCGATTTCGATCACCTTAAACACATTCAGTTGCCGTCTATCACTCTCGATGCTGCTGCTGCAGCACAGAAGGTGCGCGCGTGCTTCAGCATGACTTCTGCATGTGCTGCATGCATGAATGCATGCAGTTGAATAGGAAAGCATGCATGCATGCATGCATGCATGCATGCATTTAACTCCCTTGCAAGCGCTTTGTTGTCTCCTCGTATTCTCCTGCTTAGCGCTACTGTACCGGTATCGTGTCTTGGTTTTTCTTCCTTCTACAACGATCGTTTCCCTCGTTGTTGTTTGTCTCCATTGATGCGTTTGCCGTCTGCCGTCATTTCTGTGTCTTTTCCTTACAAGCCCTTGCATGCATGCACATGCATGCAAACACATACGGCTGTGTCTGTCTATATAAGCATACATAAATATATATATATATATATATTCATACGTACTTTCATATACATGCACAGTATATATATATATATATATATGTATACGGAGGGAGAGAGAAAGAGAGAGATATGTTTGCGTTTGTTTGTTTGTCCTCTCAGCTGTTGCCTCCTGGGAGGGCCTTCCCTACCTCCTTTGCCTCTCTCTCTTCTTCCCGGCCGGCGGTCTCCCCAACTCAGCCGCTGCTGCATACGCCTGTGTCTGCGCAACGCGAGACAAATCGATTCAACTCCACACCGGTGCAGCAGCAAACTCAGCAGCAGCCACAGCGGCCCCAGCAACTGCAGCAGCAAACTCAGCAGCTGTCACAGCAGCCTCAGCAGCAGCTGCAGCAACTGCAGCAACCATTTTCCCCTCAGTGCTCGCCACATCCTATAGGACCTTCTTATAGTGTGTACACCCAAAGAAGTTCGTATGCAAATATGCATTTGCAAGCTGCCTACCCCTACATTCCAGCTTCGCCTTCAAACCCTCATGCTCAGATGCAGCAGCAGCAACTGCAGGAGCAGCAGCAATTCCAGCAGCAGCAAGTGCAGCAGCAGCAGCAGCAGTATGGGCTCTCCATGGGCTCCTCTGGACATTCTCCGAGTGTCTGTACACCGCAGTACTCCCCTGCATTAAGGGCCAACTTCACTTCAAACCCTCACTTCATCCCCTACCCTCAAGGAGGAGCCCCACTGCAGTTGACTAACTCCATGGCAGCGCATGCTGCAGCTAGCAGCAGCAGCACAGCAGCAGCACAAGCAGGCTCTCAACCAGCCGTTTTGGTCTCTGCTAATGCAGCCCCCCAGCCACAGCCTGGGGGGATTTATACTTTGCCCTCGCAACAGCTACAGCAACAGCAGCGGCAGCAACAGCTGCTGCAGCAGAGACAAAACTCGGCTTCTGCAGGTGCCTCTAAGGGCCGGCAGTAGCTAGGCAGCAATAGCAGCGCCGCAGCAACAGAAGCAGCAGAGCATAGACATCTGCATTTGTTCTTTTTAGTTCTTTTTAGTATTATTCTCGAGGATTCGTTTCTTTTTGTCTCCTTTTGGCTCACGTTGTCCCCTCCTCTCTTTGTTTTTCTTTCACACTCTTAGACAATTCACCAAGACAACCCAAAACAAAACAAACCGTTAGCAGCTCCTGCCATATATATACAAATAAAATATACATATATATATATACACTTATTTATATAGGTATATACACACGGTATATACACACGTATATATATATATATATATATATATAT